GAGGAGCTTGAGTGGAGAAACTTCATCCTGGGGCAGCACTGAGCCCCAGAGACCCTGCTGTAGCCTGTGGCCCACCCTTCAGGGGCAGAAGGAGCAGGGTGTTCTCCTTTGGGGCTCTTTCCCTGAGCAAGGTGGTGACCAGAGAAAGGATGAGCTTCTTTCCACAAAGTCTCCATGCCCCAGCATGCCCCCGGCCCCACCCCACTGACATCTGAGCTCCCCTATGAGAGATCTGGCCCTGACCTTGCGTCCTGAGGAATCATCAGTCAGCCAGGGCCCCACCCGTCCAGAAGCCCAGGGAGCCAGCCTGAGCCCTTACTTACCCTGTCCCATCCCTCAGCCCTGATGGCAAAGTAAAAACTCCGTGGGAGGAGGGAGGAGAAAAGCAGGCCCCTGGGGTGCTCCTTGTAGGTTTGGGCTGGTCTCTGAGGTGAAGGGGCCACGGACCTGGTGCCACCACAGCCTGGCACAGCTCACCTCCACCCCGTTCTGCCTGGCTGCTGCCGACTCCCTCACTCTTCCCTTCTCCGGTGCCCGTACTCCGCCATGAGGTCTGCTCGGGGTGGTCCCAGCTGCCTTCCCCCTGGCCCCCTTCCCTCTCCTCGGTTCCCCCAGTCGGTCTCCCACTCGGCAGCCACAGCAATCTTTCTATGAGGCAAACTGGATAATGCCAGTCCCCAGCCTCCAACTCGCCAGTGGTTGCTCATGGACTGAAATCCTCTCTTCACCTTGTCATTCAAAGCCCTTTCTGCTATGATGTCAATGCAGCCATTTTCCACTGGTTCTGTATAAGCGCCCCTGCCCTCCATCCACTGGACTTCTTCTCTGGCCCCACGCAGCTGGCAGTGCTTTCCCACCTTGCTTGTGCTCACAGAGGCCCATCCACTGACCTTTCCCTTCTCTGTTCAAATCCTACCCAGCCCCAAGCCCCATTGAAGTGGTGCCTTTGCCCAACAGTGTGTATTGCCTGGAACTCAGATCTCCCTCCCCTTCCTCCTCACCTCGGCCTCACTCTTAGGTGGCCTACCTTATCACACAGACATCTGTGAACATGCTGTATCTCTCCTGCGGCACAGAAAGAGGTACTTGAAGGCAGAGCATGGCTGATTCATCTCCAAGTCCCCAGCCCAGGCCTGGATCAGAGGAGGGTGAAGTAGCATCTGTTGACTATATAGGTATTTGTGCATTCAGTCTACAGGTATACACACCTGTACTCAGATATAAGCCAGGTATAGAGTTGGGTAATTCCAGGTAATAAGCCTCCCAATTTCAGTGGCTTGCAGCATCTGCTTTTCAGGTTTTGGGGTCCATGGTTTGCTGGGTGGCTTTGCTTCAGGCCTCAGGTCCAAGCATCACTGGGGCTCCTGTGGGATTGGTCAGGCCAGGCTCCAGGCCATAGGTTGGCTGCTGATCTGTTCCATGTACCCACAATCACGGACCTAGGCTGGAGGGGCAGTCACCATCTGGGTCAAGTTCTTCTCATGGCAAACTAGCAAAAGTTTCAGTGCACTAGCCAAACAGCAAGACCACTTAAGGTCACTGCTCATGTCACATCCCCTAATTTTCATTGGTCAAAACAAGTTTCCCAGCCAAGCCTCATGTCAGTTGGGTAGGAAAGCATACCCCACTTCCACCAGTGGGAAGGACTGTAGGGTTATAGGACAAAACACAACTCTGTAGGGAGGGAGCGAAGAACTGGGGACAGATTCCAGCCCAAACTCCCAGAATAAAGGCCACACACCCTGGCATCCATTCATGGTTCTGTTCTACTTATAACATACAGACTGATCTACATCCTCTGATGAAATATATGGCTGTGTGCCAGTGTCTTAAGCTCTCTGTGCACCTGTTTTCTCAGCAGCAAAATTGGGGAAATAATACTTTTCTTAGAAGGTTGTTTGAGGTTTAATACACTCAGTGTATGTTAAACAATTCTCAGTAAAAGTGCTCAATAAAAGTAAGCCACTGCTGTTATTATCACTGCTACTATTACACAGCTAAGCATCCAGTTATAACATCTACTCCCTATATGCCTCCCGTCCACCGCCACACCAGTATAGAATATCCATATTTGTATAACCAAGCAGGCAGATGACTGCACCAGGGATTGCAAACTCCCCCATTGGCTGCATCTGCCTATAGAAATGTTTTGTTTGACCAGTACAGTATTTTAAAGCATGAAGTATTTCACATAAAAATACAAATTTCTTGAGCATCTTCACAGATGGCAAATATAGATAGGAAGTAGATAACATCTCCCAAAAAGCGTGGGGTGAAAAGGGGAGAGGGCCCAGATGGAAGTGTGAAGAACTCAGCACTTAGGGGTTGGGTAGAACACTGGCTGGCTGAGATGGATCAGTCAGAGATGCAGGGAGAGAACATGTCCCAGGAGCAGGGAGGGGTGAGGGAGGAAGGGCTGCACGAGGACCCCAAAGCCCTGGGCATTTTGCTGGGGGCAGTTTGAGAGTAGAGGAGGCATAGGCAAGATCATAGGGGATTGAGGAAGGAGTGATGGGAGATAATGAAATGGAGAACATGAGTGTGGCAAACTCTTCCAAGCAGATTGGCTGCAAAGGGGGAAGAAGGGTTGGCTAGGGGCCAAGGGTAGGAATTGGGATTAAAACCATTTTCTTAAACCAGGAAAGGCTTCAACATAGGCAAATACTGATGGAAGAGACCTAATAGACAAAGAAATTACTGACACAGGAAGAGGAGATAATGGCCCTTGGACTGGGCCAGGGTAGGGAACTGAGTAAGCTGTCAGCCTTAGAAAGGAGAAAGAACACCTGCCCTGCTGTGACCAAAGAAGGAGTCCCCAGCTGGTTAGTGGCCAAGATGGAGATGGGGCTCAGTTTGCTTGTTTTGTTCATTGGTTGTCTTATCCAACATGTATTTATTGAGCATCTACTCTTTACTAGGCACAATTCTTAGCAAGAAACAAAAATAGACAAAAATCACTGCTTACATTCTGATCATGGGAGAAAGGTGATAAAATAAATGAGAAGATTGTATAGTTTATTAGAAGGTAAGATGCATATGTATAAAATAAAGGGAAATGGAGAGCACTGGGGGACATAATTTGCAATTTAAATAGGATGTTCAGGGTAGGCCACTGAGAAGGCAACATTTGACCAAAGGCTTGAAGGCAGGGAGAGAGCGAACCCAGTACGAAGCTCTGTGGGGAAAGCGCTCCTAGGAGGAGGCAAGAGAGGCAGAGGCGCAAGGGGCTGAGATGGGGCCTGCTGAGTGCTGGAGGGACTGCCAGGTGGTCGCATGGTCAGCGTGGAGACAGTAGTGGGAGGATAGTGAGTGATCTGATTTATATTTTAATGGAGTCCTTTGGGCAGCTATGCCGAGAATAGACTGAGGGGTGGGGCATGGCAAGAGGGAGAGCTGGGAGACCAGTAGAGGCTGTTTATATAATCCAGGCAAGAGCTGATGGTGGCTGGGGCCAGGGTGGTAGCAGAAGAGGTGGTGACAGGTGCCTGGATTCCTGACACATTCTGAAGGGAGAGCCAGCAGGATATGCTGGTAGCTTGGGTGAAGAACGAAAACAGAGAAGTCACAGATGCCACTGTTACCAGCAGAAAGTATTGTATTTCCCTGATTTTTGTCTTCTTGAAGGAAACAAGTCAATCCAGAGACAGACTTAGGACAGTTTTAAACAGCAGGAGTGTATTAAGCAAAGCATAAGTACCTCTGAGAGCAGGCAGTCTGGAAACCAGCAGTAGCCGGGTTATTAGGGTTAGGAGTGACTTTTAAAATGATGGTAAGTCCCTCCCATGTCCTATGTCATTTAATTGACATATTGATTGACACTTTCAGGTTATATAACCTCAGGGCACAGCCGCCTGCCGTAAGTACCTACTGGAAACCCAAGGTCGGAGAGGCAATGCTGCAATGTAAATTCATTACAGTTAGTGTATAATGAATCTTGAGGTAATTCTGGGCCACCTTTTGGGTCTTAGTATGCAGGGGCCAACCCAAGTTAGTGGCCTGGGAGCCCTGTTGGGCTTTTGACATCTTAACCAGGAGGGTTTGGGGGTGTGTTCTGCCAACTGGCATCAGGGGTAGGTGGAACGGGGAGGATCTTGTTCAGGACAGGGCGGGACCCACTCAGGTCTGCTTAGCTTTAGCTTGCACAACTGGAGGGTCAAAGTTGCCCTTCACCACAATGGGAGAGGCTGTGGGTGCCCAGGGTTGGGGAGAGACAAAGGTGAGGAGTTCCATTTGGACACAAGTTTGCTGTGTCCACTAAACATCCACGTGGAATGCCAGTTAGCAGTGGTGTAGAGAAGTCTATCTAGCCTTAGGGGAAATGTCCAGAATGGAGCTATTAAATGTGAGAATCATGTTGTCCTGGGTTATTTAAAGCCGGGAGAGTGGCTGAGATCATCAAGGCTGTGAGTATAGATGAGAAGAGGTTCAAAGACTGAGCCCTGAGGCCTTCCAGCGTTATCAAGTCTGGGGGAAAAGGCGGAACCAGAGAAGGCAACAGAGAGGAGCCAGTCCTGAGGAGGAGAGGGCCCTGCGGTGGTGTCCTGGAGGCTGGGAGGAGAGCTGTTTCTAGAAGGAAGAAGTGAGCAGCTGGGTCACATGCCGCTGATGTGGCAAGATGAGAACTGAGCAGTTACCACTGGGTTTATCAGCATGTTGGACAATTGCAATTGTGACAACAGCCGTTTAGAGGATGGTGGGCCTGGGGTGGGCCCTCTGAACATTCAGGACCCTCCTTTGGAATTAAATGGAATGACATGTGAGTTTGTTCCCCACACATGAGAGCTGTGCTCTAAATCCTGGGGTGCCTGGTGGGCTCTGTGGTGGGAATCCTACAGCGGCACAGAGGGCCAGAAGGTCAGTGTTGGAGTGTGGGAGTAGACCCGAGGCCTGCTGCCCTTCCCTGCAACAGCCTGCCCCCTGCCGCTGGAGGAGCAGTGCCCTGCCGAGGGGCACTCCCCCATTCATTCCACCATCTCTCTAGACCCTCTTCTCTTTCTCAGCAGATGAGCCGACCTCCCCCAAGAAACCCAAGAGTGTCCCAGAACCAGATCCCGGTGATGTGGAATGTGGAGCCACCCCTTCCTTGCCCTCCGAGTGGACCTCAGTGAGGATCAGCCCTGGGGAGGACGTGGTGGGGCAGGATGTGACAGCCGTGTGTGTCTTGGTCACCAGCAGTGACAGCAGGTATGCCCAGGCTGCCACAGGGTCCCCCCGCCCCACTCAAGCTAGCGGAAGTAGCAAAGGCAGACACACCTGTGCATCTGACTGGGCTGTCCAGAGGTGGTCCTCTCTTCTGGCTGAGTTGGAGCCAGAGACTCAAGCAGCTGCTCTGCCTTGCTGCTCTTCTGCATGTGGCCTTTATAACCACCCACATGTGGGACTCTTGGCTAAAGAGGTACTCAACTCACATCCAGAAATCTGCGTCCTTATATCCCCATCTCCAGGGAGACCTGCCGTTGGTAGTGCTCACAGTGCACACCCAGCCCCCGGGGCCACCCACGGCCCCAGGGGGAGCACAATGTGGGTGCAGCAGGACCCTGGGGAAAGAGGCGGGCTGGACTGTTGGAGAGTAAACATATCTATTCACTAAGATGTCACTGCCTGCAGGTTGTGTGCGCTCCCCTGCCCCCCACCCCCCGGTGGGGGAGAGGGCACTGTCCCCACTGCCTAGGACAGCCCACTTCCGCTTCTCTGCCACCTGAGTTCCTGCCAGGCATTTAAAGCCCAGGTTAATACTGACCCTCCCAACCCCACCCCAACCTGGTAGTCTTTTCTGTCCCCCCATCCAGTCCCATGGGAGGTAAACAGTATTTAAATGCCCAGAGTTTTAGGATCAGCTCCCTAATGAAAGCCCATTTTACCCCAGGCAGCTTAGGAGTCAGGCTTAGGGCCAGGTGAGGTGGGAGGCCCAGCCTTCACACAAACTCTTCAGCTGGGTTCTCCTGCTCAGATCCCCGCCTGCCTCTGTTTGCTAAGGTTGCCGCACAGTACCACCCACTGGGTGGCTTGGACAACAGAGACCGATTTCCTCGATTTCCTCGCAGTTCTGGCGGCTGGGTGTCAGCAGGGCTCCTCCCTCCTGAGGGCTGTGAGGGAGGATCCGTTCCAGGCCCCTCTCCTCAGCTGCTAGGCGGCTGTCTTCATGTTCACATGGCTTTTCCTTCTGTGCCTGTGTCCAAATTTCCTCTTTTTTTACGGATGCAGTCATGTTACGATTAAGGCCCACCCTAATGGTCTCATTTTAACTTAATTACCTCTTAAAGACCCTCTGTCTAAATGCAGTCACATTCTGACATACCAGAGGTTAGGACTTGGTGTGAATTTGGGGGGATCTGGTTCAGCCTATAACAAAGCCTGAGGCTGGGCACTGGGCACTGAGCCCCAGGGTCTGCTGGGGACAGTGATGGGCAGTGGTGGCACAGGGCTCCTCGTTCACCCACCATCTTCTTCCTCCTCCCAGCTCTGATGCAGAGTCAGAAGGCGGTGGCCGCCAACCCTGCAGTGCAGGGCCCTGTGAGGAGAGACGCTGGCAGCCGGAACCCCCGCGCCTACTGAAGCCCCTCTCCCCACACAGCTCCCTCAGAGGAGCCCTGACAGGGGTGGTCTCTCCACAGTGCCTGGAGAAACCCAGAGCTGTGCATGGTGAGCAGAAAGCCTGCCTGAGCAGGAGACATGGGGAGGGAGCAGAGTATTTCTGGCCAGTTTTTCCTCAAGAGGGACCAGGTAACAGTAGGGAGAACCCTTCGGCTCAGAGGCCATGGGGCTACGACCTTTGGAGGCTGAAGTACAAGTGGGGATTAGGGCACTGGACCCAGGCCCAGCCTCCTTCTCCATGAAAAGCTTTGGAATCTCAAGTGGGAAGGTGGCAGAGAGGTCTGGCCAGCTGCTGTGTGTCACAGGCAGGCAGAGATAAGGGGGCCCAAGGACCCTCTTGCCTGTAGCAGTCTTCTCTATGAATATCTCCCCTGGGGCCCCTCTGGCATTCCACAGCCCACAGGGAAGGGAGGTGGGCTCAGCTGCTGTTGGAGCATGGGCAGCCCTGGGCAGCTGTTTCCCTGGGCCACCTGGGAGCTGCACAGGACCATTGCCAAGGGCTTGTGGAATGTGCCAAAACTGTACCTACACAGTAATAAATTCACTTTTCCTGAGTACTTGTAATAGCCAGGGCTTTTACCATACATGGCCCCTTTCATCCCTAAGACAAGTCTGTGAGTTCCATGAAGCCCATTTGACAGAAAAGCAAACGGACAGAGTTTTCTAAGGTCTCACAGCTAGTGAGCAGCGTGGCCCTCTGCTGGGTGCCTTCACTCCCTAAGCAGTCATCTTTAGTAGCCCAGCTTGTCTTAATAAAGTGACCCTGAGTTGAGTGTTTTGATTCAGTCAGCAGCAACTTGTGACCTCCTGGTGGGAAGAACCAGGCTAACGGGAACCTGCCACCATCAGGACCAAAAGCCTAGGCTGCCTGGGGAGAGCCGGGGCTCAACTTGTCCTGCACTTCCCTCTGGTGGTTGAGGGTAGAATTTCCGCCGGAACCTGGGACTGTTCTCCCAAGTGAATGGTTTCCTTGAAGACTAGGGCTGGCGCCTGAATCCTGGAGACTCTGAATCTACCCTCCCATGTGAGCCTTTTTTCAAAAAGGACAAATTGTCATAAAATCAGTTTGCTAAGTGCTATTTGTACTGCCGTACAGAAATGCTTAGCACATGCGGTGAACAGATGGCTGGTCTGCCCCTGTCTGCTTACTGCTTGGTCTAGGCAGGGCCCTCCGTCTCCCTGGTCACTAGCCTTCTCATTTATGGATACAAAGCTTGCCTACGTTTTAACCCTTCCTTCCATTTCTCCTCTCTCCTTAATTGCCTGGCCATTTTAGCCAACTTATAAGAAAAACATAAAACGAAATTGTGTGTATGTGTGTGTGTATGTATGAAACGTAAAGATAAAGCCTCAGATCAGAGTTAACAAACCACTTCAGAAGGTATAGACCCCCAGAGAGGCACACCATAATCCTAAACACTTGCTCCAGAGGAATCATAAATTTGATTCTGAGTTTTCTGGCAGCCAGAGTTAAAAAAGGAACACAGACAATTATTATTGTCATTGTTCACCAACAAAAAGTATATTGGTTTCTAGCAGGTTTTGGATCTGGTACCACTTTTCCTAATGCTTCACTCTATAGAAAATTTCTAGCTCTTGTCAAGTAGATGATATCGAGAGGTCTATTAGATCATGTCTTTAACAATGACTGTGCAGAAAATGCAGCCATTTTTCCTGAGGCTTTTTAAGGCAGCATCCCTTGCTGGCAGGTGAGAGCGTGACAACAAAACATGACTCAGCAAGAGCAGTTCTCCCAGGGGATAGGGTTGGGTCAAGAGAACAAGGCAGTGTGGCCAAAGCATTTCATTTCTGACAGTCCAGCTTAATTCCAGAATAAATACAGAGTAGACACAGAAGTGGATAGACCCCCCTGGCTTTCCAATAATCTTCTATTGATTCTGTTTTCCTCCATCAAGGTTTTGATCCTTGCTAGGCGGACCATATTATAAGGTTAAAATGTCTGGCAGAATCTAAGCTGTATGTTTTGTGTTGCTGGTTATGGTGAGTCCATCACTGTAACTCAGGGTTGACATCATGTTATGGTGCTTCACTAATCATAATTTTTACCTGGATAAATGATTCAGAGCTGAGCTGAGAGTGCTGGACAAGACCAGGAATTGCTTTAAAAAGACTCCTGGTTTGTACACTCCTGTTCACAGCATTATTCACAATCATCAAAAGGAGCAACAGTCCAAAGGCCCATCAGCAGGTGAATGCATAAAAAAATTGTGCTATATTCACACAACAGAATGTTATTCAGCCTTAATAAGGAATGAAATTATGATACACACTATAACATGGATGAACCTTGAAGTCTTTATGCTCAATGAAATAAGCCAAACACAAAAGGACAAATATTATATGATTCTACTTCTATAAGGTGCCTAGAATAATCAAAGTCATAGAGACAGAAAGCAGAAGAGTGGTTGCCCAGGGGTGGGGAGAATGGGGAGTGATCCATTAATGGGTACAGAGTTTCAGTTTGGGTTAAGGAAAAGGTTCTGGAGATGGATGGTACTGACAGTGGTGAAACTATAAATGTACTTAATGCCATTGCGCTCTACACTGAAAAATGGTTGAAATAGTCATTTTTATGTTATGTATATTTTACTGTATATAACATTATTATATATTATATATTACATATTTCTGAATAGGAAACAGTAATATTCCCCTGAAACACCTAGTTCCGTAGTTCTTAAAAATCTTGCTTGAAAGACAGATTTCTAGGTTCAGAGACTCAGATTCAGTGGGTCGAGAATGGGGCCAAGTATCTGCGTTTCATATAAGCGCTCCATCTGCTTCCGTGCAGAAAGGCCATGTCCTATACTTTGGAAACTGTAGAAGAGCAGTACCAAGGGGGCGTGCCTGGATGAATTAGTTGTAAAACACATGTCTGAGCAACTGAAAGAATCAGGCTAGTGCACTGGGTTCCTGGATATAAACCAATCAGAGTGAGGAGGGCAATCTGCCCTTCAATTATTCTGGTTTAAAAAACTGGTATTGATCCTTTTTTCCTGGCAATAATTTGATAGCAGGATGGTCCATTGACTAGGGAGGGCAGTCCTAGTTTGTAACAATAAAATCATATCAATACCATATAGCAAAATACTTAGCCTCTTACTCCTTCTGCAGTGGGTCATACACTAAGATATCCAAAAATGCTCCCTTAAAATAAATATAAATCAAATATAAACTAAAAAGAACCAGACTTGTTTTATGCTGTTCAAAATTACTAGATCAAATCATTATTACCCACCCTACTGTTCCTATTGGGGTAAAAATGTGTGCCTGTGTGCCCTATAAACACCAATGAGGGAAAATCTCCCATGAATGTTAGCTATTTCTAGTATGTTCCATCTCACAAAATTAAAAGCAGAGGGGAAGCAATAAGAGCTTTAAACAACCTTCCATGTTTCTTGAGCAATTTCTCCATTAGGTGATGAGGTTGTAGTTGTGCTTGAGGCCTGCTTGCTCCTTGTGCATAACATCCAGCCGGAAAACCCCAGCCTGTACTTGGTGAGAGAAAATGGCCCTAAACTGTCGGTTCATCCTGTAATTGGGAGATGGGGAGACTGTGCCCTGCACCATTCAGACAGGCTCCCCGTGAAACCCAGGGACTTGGCTATGACAGCAGGCCTGTGGGGCTGGGCACCTACCAGACAGAGTATGCTCAGAGCGTCCCTAAAAGGGGTAAGGGAGGGAGTGGTCCCAAGGGTCCAAGTAGCCAAAGGATCTTGTCCTGAGGAAAGGAAGCCCTTAAGTGGGGCTGACAGCTGCACTCCATAGCCTGGCTGGTACGAGCTGGCATCCAGCTCTGAGCACCCACAGGGGTGGAACCCGGGACTTTCTACAGAGAGACAGAGGGCTGGGCCGCCAGGGCCTTGGCTTCTGAGGACCACATTCAAGCCTTCCCTCCCCCATTCTCCCACACCTACATCACCCCTGTGGGCTTCTTTCCTCCCACACCTCCTCATGTCCTCCGTGTGAACATTCAGGCATGCATTACTCCCTTCCTTTCTCTGGGCTATGATGGAACCACCACAGGGACATGGAGCCTGAGGCCGAATCTGAGGGCCCAGTGTGGGCATGGGGTACATTTGCATTCCACTGCCCACCCTCATGCCCTACATGGCCAAGACCCACTTTCTTCTGCATGTGATGTTCATTTTGCTCAGCTAAGTCTCAAGGCTCAGCTGGGGACTGGGTCTTCAGTCTACAATTCACAGTTCCCAAAGGTTTTGGGGGACTCTGAGGGGAAAGATCAGAGAGCGTAGAGCTTTCTATAGCTTCCAAACTTCAATGAGAGCAGTTCTGGTTTACCTATTACATGTATGGGATATTGATGTGAGGCTTCAATTTTGAAGAACTACTCTGCTAAAAACAAGTGTGTGTGCATACATGCATGTATAGGCATGTATATACACATGTGTGTGTATATACATACATGCAGGCATATGCTTATTAATAATGGGTAAGTTAGACTGATGGATAATTTGAGGCATCTTAAAGGGAGCAGTACCTGTCCCCTTAGTAGGATTTCAATAAAGATTTAATGAAGGAGGAAAGGAAAGTCAGAGATGTGTGTTGTAGGGGCAGGGAGGTGTAGTCTCAGGAAAGAAAGGGGCTCAGTCGATTATGATCATTAGTCTATTAACTTTTGTTAAACCAGTGAAAATGTATTTATTTTGGTAAACAGAAGAAAATTCCCTATTTATTCTGCACATTTAACAGATTCTTCTTCCCTCCTTCCTTTTTTCTACCACAGCTCTGCAACGGGCCAATGGCTCCCAGTCTCCAACTCCCAGCAAATACCAGAGCTGGAGAAGAAAATTCCAGTCGAGTGAGTCATGAGCTCTGTGGGGGTGGGAGTGGGCAGTGTTTTCTGGTTAATTCTCAGGGGCAGCTGTTCTCATTCCTTGCATGTCCTCTCTGACCTGGCCGCCTGGATATGAGGGGCAAGGAAAGAAACGTAAGGTTGACTGTTTCTGCTGCTGACTAGGGGAAGCATTTTCCAAAGCATTTGGGACCCGCCCTTCCCCCCCAGCCCCCTACTGTGGAATCATGGAGCCTTGGAGCTCTGTACCTGGAAAGGGCCTCAGCAATCTGGCTCCAAGTTTTTAGAAACACAGATGAAGAAACTGAGGCTCTATACGTTTTGACTCTGTCCACTGGAGTTGGGCGAAAGACATCAGCCTGATGACCTCCTGCCCCACTCCCATACCCCCGCCCCCACCCCACCCCCACTCTCACACACCAGTAAAGGAAGCCCCACTCCCAGGAGCAGAGCTGGGTGAGAACTAGGGCTGCTGCCGACGCCAGGGCAGCAGGCTCCCACTAGGGGGCGCAGTGACCACGTGCACAGTTGCACAGCATCCCAAGGTTGGCAGTGTTGCTGGAGCTGCAAAAGTTACAGAACAGGGATTCCCTCCCTGATCCTGAGGTAGGGACAGGGACTCATCCGATTCCAAGTCCATCGCTGCCCCCACATTCCCTCCCTGGACCTCGCTTTAGGAGAGGTGGACCCAGGAAAGCATTGGGTTAGTTAGACAAGGGTTTCTAAATAAACCATTGTTGCAGTTGGAACAGAACGCCGGTTTAGTTGACTCCCTCTTTCTGAGTCAATGCTGACTCCTGACCAGTGAGTCATTCTCCTGGCAGCACCCCCATATTTAAGCACCCCCCCTCACTCGGGTCAGGTTGGGACAATGATGCCTCTGGAGAAGGCTGAGGGCTGCACACCTGGGCAGGCCACTTCACCTGAGGACAGCCTATAATGACTCTTGAATCACCTTGCAGTCCCAGGCAGTGAGAAGAAGGGGAAGGAGGGAGTTAACATTTACCGAAGGCCTGGGCCAGGCCTTTCTACACATCACCTCATTAACTCTCCTGCCCAGCCTCTCCCCAAGTCTCAGGAACTCTGCTTCTCTGGGTGGGTCTGTCTGGGTGCAGATTCCACTCAATGCTTCCAGCCAACTTTACTGAGTATCCCCAGTGCAAGGGGCTCAGCTGTGCCTCCACAAGTTCCCAGTCTGAGGTGAGAGCAGGAGGTCTGGTGGGGGCCCATCACAGCAGGATTGAGGATGCTGGAGGAGGCACAGAAGAGAGGGGGCTGCTAACTGGAGGCATGGTTTCTGGGGTGGGGCTGGGAACCTCAACTGTGCCTCGTTATCCTAGGATTATCAGGTGTTGATTCTCAAGTGCATTTAAAAGCTGGTTTGAGAACAGGTCTTGAGTTCAAATCATTTCTATGGACTTACCACCTAGCCTGGGCCTGGCCCAGAAGAAGCACCCAGTCCTTGATGAGTGAATGAGTGAATGAATGAATGAACAAACGAATGAACCAGAAGCAGGCTGGACTCGAGTGCAGGAACAATTGAAGCAAATGGGTTCAGCCTGTGCAGGCTACCGCCCCTAGAGGGCACTCCGAGACTTTGGGAAGGTTTGCGTGTTGCCTCAGCTCCAAACTGCGGGAAGCTGCATCCTGGAGCCCCAGTCTTTGTGAAAAATCCCCAGATCCATCTGTGTGGCCATCTTCATTTTTCCCAAGAAGAAGCCCCAGTGGGCAAGACTGATCCTGTAGCAGGAGCAGCACTTGGTGCACCATCTCTGTGCACTCACTGCCCCATCAAGTCTGGGTCTGGTTCTAGTCCCAGGTGGGAGAACACTGAGGGCTGTGCAGCTGCCCTTATCACCTGCTCCAAACTGACCATATTCACCAGAATGATCTTTTGGATCAAGGGGAAAGGCCACCATTGCCAGAGGGCCAGAGAAGAGGCAGCTGAGTCAGAGTGGGCAGGGAGGCTGTAATCCAGGTCCTGGTCTGCCCAAAGCCCCCTTTGCATAAAGACCGAAGGGCCAGCAGCACTACGACTGAGGCCCCTGGAGAGGGCAGGGAAGCCCTGGCTGGACCATGCCAAGGTTTCAAGGAAAAGAAGAAAGGGCCAGCACAGTTGGTGAATGATGGGTTCCTGGCTCCATGGGTAAAGAAATCCTGGCCAGGGTGGGTATGCAGCCCCTGGAACAGGTCAGCAATTCAGCAGTGTCTTTACTGGACACCTTTGTGTGCCTGGGGGAAGGGAATGGAAGGGAACTAATATTTAGCTGGCATGTAGCATTTCCTTTGCGCCCTGACTGGCACCTCTTTATCTCATTTTATCCCTCAGACTTCCCATGGAGCAGGACAAACTTCCCTTAGGAAACTGAGGGGTTAAGTATCTATCTTGCTCAGTGTCAGGGAGCAGGTGCGGGTGTGGATGTGAAGGATGTGGGTCTCCAGGCTCCCTTTTGCCCTCCTCTTAGGGAACCCAGGGACATCCCCCACGTCAGGCAGGTGAGATTTCTGTCACCTCTCAGCTCTTGCCCTCCCCGGCCAAGCATGAACTACGGGTGTTCCGTTTCGCCCTCTCCTCAAGCCTTCACCAAGTTCTCCTGAAAATGGCGTGTGAAGAACATGTGTGGGAATTAGCTGGGGAGGGAGTGGGACTAGAGAGGAGAGGAAGGGGAATCGGTTCGGGTCACGGCCTTGTGCACCCCAAAGCTCTCCTGTTGGTCTTGGCTCTGAAGGTGCCCCTGGCTCCGTGTCAGGAGCTTTCCAGAGAGCTCCTTGGGGGAACACAAAGGCAGTCTGTGGAGCTGTGGGGACGTTGGGACTGTTCAGGAGCTTGACTCAGAAGGGGGCAGAGGAGAATGAGGGGGCAAGGAAGAGGAGGACAAGGAATCTGGCAGGAATTTGGCAAGCTGAGGACAGGAAGCAAAGCAACAACTGACTCACAGCTTTTTCCTTTTTAGGTTCGAACCATCTAATTGTGGGCTGGATGGGGGTTTGGGTGACAGGCGGGCCAGCCGCCTCCCCCACGTCAGCTTCTGGCAGCTTCTTCCTGCCACCCTCAGATTGCTCCCCAGTCACCTTTCCCTGGGAAGCGTTCAGGATGGCTTCGCTTTGGGAGCTTGCTGGCTGCATGCGTGTGGTGGTTGTCTTTTCAGAGCCCGGGTCTGGGACATGGGCTCTCCCGGGTTTGCATTTGTATATGAGGAAAGCAGGGCAGAATAATGAAAGAAAAAACCCTGCAGCATTCCCCTTTGCACACACGGGTCTTGAAGAAACTCTTCTCGGGGTGGGGCTGGGGTTTGGCTTGGTCTGGGTGGGTCCCAGAGCAGGAGCCTCTCCTTCAAAGCTTTGGGGAAACCGAGGATGGGGGCATATGTTGATTTAGGAAGTGAGCTAAAATCTGAAGGCTGGATACCTTGGAGGTAAATTGGAATGGGCCAACTGAGTGGGCAGAAGCAGGGAGTCTGACAAGAGTGGGTAGGTAGAGACTCTGGTCCTGAGATGTCTCTGGGGAGCAGCCTTCCTAGGCTGGGAGGGCACGGAGTGAACAACTCTGAAAGGTAGCATGGCATTTTCTGAATCTCGCTGAAAACAGATTACTGAAATGGTCCAACATGGAAATAAACGCTTGAGATTTCAGGCTTAAGGTTACTAGGAGTTGTGTGGATGCACGTGTGTGTGTGCATTCTCTCATGAGAGAGATTGAGAATGAGACTGCTCTTACAGGCTACACCTGTCAGAATTCTACTGAAACTCAACTAATTGATTTCAGCTCCCACAGTTCAGAATTAGGCTCGCCCTCCAGGCCCTGGGCACACTCCTTTCTCATGTTGCTCTGAGCGTGTACACTGCATCTCGTTTGTTCCCGGACCAACAGGGGCTTGGCACAGACCCCACTCCATATGCTTCTGGTGATTTGATACTCATTATGACCTCCGTCAATCTCATCTGAGAGCCCGTTTATTAGCAGTGCCTGCCTGTCCTGTCTGTGCCCACAGCTAATGGCCCACCTTCATGTGGGCAGAGGCCTCAGATGGTTTATTGACTAAGTGATTTAACACAGCCCCAGCCCCCAAACACGATGGCTTTCAGAGTAACTTTAGAGGTACATGTGCCTTTCCAAGAAACACCCTGGAGACTCGCCATCCCACTTCTCAGGAACATTCTCACGAGTGAGACACAGTGGCTCTCAGACTTTTCACCCCCGCACCTCAGGAGCCTGCCAGTCCTACGCCCCTTCCTCTAAGTCCCAAGCTGTGGGCACTAGGCCTCTGAATCAGTCTCTGATTATCTTCCTCCTTCTGACTCTATAGAGTTGGAGCTTCATTTAAAACCTCTTCTTTTCATGAAAAAATAAGGTAATGACAGCCCTGTAATGGACAGTGTGTTCTTCCCACAGTAGATTTGATGCCAGTGAGTAACAAAAGAACTATGTCGCCTCCAAAGGAACCTTCTCCTCTTTGTCCTTCCTCATCATCTCCTTCATCTTCCCTGTCATCTTCTTCAGCTAGTGTCCCGGGGAATGCTTGGGATGGTTCCTCTCAGCCCCAGGTAAGTACCCCTTGAGGCCCTGTGCAATTGTTAGGAAAGTGAGCTGCATATGCTCCAGTCTACTTCCACACTCAATTCTGGATTCCTACCACTGTTAGGTTACCCCAAGTGCAAAGCCAGGGCCAAAGAAATGCTCTGTTAAGAGTCTACCTGGGCCTCCCTTACTGGTCCTGCTCTTTCTCAGCCAGCCTCGAGGGCACAGCCCTGCACTTAGCAAACTTTCTGGGCAGGACTGTGGGGTGCAGAGCTGCCAGGACATATGCTCTGTCCTTGAGGACCTTGCAGCTGAAGGCGGGCAGACCCAGAAGTGAGGGTGCCTTTGGTAGCACCTGAGAACCTTGAAAGCTGCATTTCCCATGAATAGAAAATGACATAGCTGAGATATGAGGCGTTGGACTCCTTCCTTCAATCTGAGCTTATCAAGCCGCTACTACCTGCTAGCCCACTTTCTGGGATCTGGGAAGGCAAAAAAGGTGCATGCCCTTGTTAAACTCCTGTCCCATGGCCTGCCTCTTGGGCACCAGAGCTCTTGCCAGGGCGCAGCCACTCCTTCTGGAGTTTACCCATGTCCTTCCTTTGCCAATGGCCAAATTCCTACATGCTAGAAATGGATACTTTCTCAGTGGTGTGAGGCAATGAGTCAGGTTTAGAAGGGTCATTGAAAGGTCCTAAAGGCCATCCTTCTGCCCCCACACCAGAAAGGTAACTTCTCTTCTTACTTAATAGTCTCCCAGCAAGAAGCTCTGGTTTATTGGTTGAAGGAACAGACCTCTAGATGGAATGTTCCCCTTAGAAGGCACTGTGGCCAGTCAGCCACAGGATATCTGTTGCCACTACAGAGGCCAAGCCAGCCGTACCTCACTGGCCCTGGGATTTATCAGTGCTTTTGCTTTCCTGTCTGGCCTCCTACCCAGCTAATCCAAGACCCAGAAAAGCCTTTGATCAGTGTTGATACAGGGACTCCAGGCAGATTCCAAGGCAGCCACTTAGGATGAAGAGCAGCCCTTTGAAATCATCCTAGGCAGAATTCTTTTTGACTTTGGGTCCAAGATCTAGAGAGAGGAGGGAGGGGCTCTGGACTGAGATTTGCCTTCCCCATATGAATACATGCTGGGGGTTTCTAAATAGCTGCTGTGTTTTGCTCATTCCCTCTAGGTGACAGCCCACAACCTGCCCTCCCAGGTCTCCAGGGGCCGTTTCAGCCCTGCCACTCCCATCTTTCTGAGGCGAGCCCGAGCCCAAGGAGCACCCAAGGAAATCCCTCTGTTCCTGCCTCAGAGCCAGGTGCTGGAGCAGGCAGAATACTGCCTCGTGAGCCCCAGTGAGGATGGCCTTGCCAGCCCTGAGCCACTCAGCCCTGCAGAGGTGGCTTCTGATGGGGGTCAGGAAGCAGAGTCTCCTCTTGCAGACAACAGAAGCATCCACAGAGGCCCACGCCCCAGGGGAAGGAAGGACGGGTGCTTGCCAGACCAAGCACTGTCTCCCAGGGCTGGAGGGGACCCAGGAGAGGGGAGTCCCAGGCCCAGGAGGGCAGAGGAGGCTGGGTCAGAGTGGGCAGAGGGGAAGAAGTCAGGCTTAAAGAAGGTAGTCCTCACACAGGAGCAGAAGACCTGGTTGCTGAATTGGAAGGATTCCAACCCTGAGAGTTTACACCTGGAAGCTGGGGTGCAACTTCCCCCAAAAAGTGCTGAGAATGGTAGAAGAGGCCATGTGCTGAAACCAGTACGCCCTCTGTTGCTCCCTTGGTCCGTGAAGGAGCCGGTGCCAGCCCAGAGTAGGGCTCAGGAGAAGACAGGAACCGCGGCTGAACAGGCTCCAGAGGAGCGAAGCATGGCTCCACCCAAGTCCCCGCCCAAGTCCCCACTGCGTCTTATAGCAAACGCCATCCGAAGGTCCCTAGAACCCCTCCTCCCCACCTCCCCAGGCGGGAAGAAAGCCTGGGCCAAGCCAGATTCAAAGCCTCTGCCCACCTGCCAGCCACAAGCTTGCACTCGCTTTTGCGGCCTTGGGAAACCCAGTTCCAACAAAGACTGGGACCCGAGGTCCCCAGGGAAAGACATGGCAAGCAAGGCCTCAGTCGTCTTCTCCCTGGGCCCCCAGACTGCCAGGGCCTCCCAGCCTTCAGACCTTAGCCCTCCTGACCCTGCCTTCCGCACCCATAGTTTGCCCAACCGGCCATCCAAGATGTTTCCTGCCCTTGTGTCCCCTCCCCGCCACAAGATTGAAGATGTTCCCACACTCCTTGAGAAAGTGAGTTTGCAAGAGACCTCGGATACTTCTTGGGTTCCCAAAAGAAGAATCTCAGTCTTTTCTTCCCTGAGACTCAAAGACAAGTCTTTTGAGAGTTTCCTACAAGAATCTAGACAAAAAAAAGATCTCCAGGATCTTGTCAGCACCCCTGAGGGGAAGGGTCTGCCTGTGGACAATGTCCAGGCCCTAGAGAAGCTGGTGCAGCCTCTCAGTCTCAACTGCCTGGGGCAGAGGATCCATCCTCCTTCTGAGCGAGACATGAGTAAGTGGGTCTTTCCTACCAAAATGTACAGTTCAGGTGGGGCAGTTCATTTTCCCTATTAGATTAATAAACATATCTTTCACTTTGTTTTGCTTCTCAGATTAAGTTCTGAGAAAAGTACGAAAACTTGACTTTGACAATTTTGAAAAAATATGAAAAAATTAAATTTAAAATTCTGTTATAGAAGGTTTTGAAAGAGACAACCATAATTTGCCACCTTCCTGCTCATTGCCCATATGTGAGCATTTTTTTTTACAAAGTTGTGCAAACAACTTTGGATCTTTTCAAAATCAACATTGTACTACAGGTATTGTGCCAGTTACCACATAGTCTGCATAACTGTGATTTAATGGCTGTAGAATATTATATCTAGTGGAGATGTTATCATTGAATGAACTGTTTTTTTATTGTTTAACTTATAGATATATATACATATATAAATTACATTTATGAATATATTTCTATATTATATATGGTATTGAATGTTTTTATGCAGATAGATTTTTCTTTCCTTTGAATAATTTTTTTAGGATAGGTTCCAAGAAATGGGATTACTGCATTAAAGATGTGAATATTTTTAAGTTTCCTAATTTATACTGACAAATTATTTTTTAACAGTATGAGTAAAGGAGACATAGAATCTCTTTGTGTTAATTCTTACAACTACATGTTGTAAATTTCAATTAAAACAAGCTAAAGGTACCCATTTTCCACTGCTAATATATGAGAGAATCTTTTTTAACACACATCACCTGTATTATATTTTTTCAATGTTGCTATCTTACTGTAAAAAAGTATTAAACTTGTATTTTTTTATTACTAGCTTGAACACATTTATATATATCTGGTTGCCAATTGAACCTCAGGCTTTTTATATTTAAATGTGATCATAATTTTTTTTCCAAGTTTAATTTTATTATTTTATGTATTTAAGTACAAAAGAAAAATTTTTTTTTGGTATCATTAATATACACTTACATGAGCAACATTGTGGTTACTAAATTCCCCCCATTATCAAGTCCCCACCACATACCTCATTACAGTCACTGTCTATCAGTGTAGTAAGATACTATAGAATCCCTACTTGTCTTCTCTGTGCTATACTGTCTTCCCCATGCCCCCCCGCTACATTATGTGTGCTAATCGTAATGCCCCTTTTTCCCCCTTGTCCCTCCCTTCCCACCCATCCTCCCCAGTCCCTTTCTTTTGGTAACTGTTAGTCCATTCTTGGGGTCTGTGAGTCTGCTGCTCTTTTGTTCCTTCAGTTTTTTCTTTGTTGTTATATTCTACAGATGAGTGAAATCACTTTATACTTGTCTTTCTCTGCCTGGCTTATTTCACTGAGCATAATACCTTCTAGCTCCATCCATGTTGCTGCAAATGGTAGGATTTGTTTTCTTCTTATGGCTGAATAATATTCCATTGTGTATATGTGCCACATCTTCTTTATCCATTCATCTACTGATGGACACTTAGGTTGCTTCCATATCTTGGCTATTGTAAATAGTGCTGCGATAAACATAGGGGTGCATATGTCTTTTTCAAACTGAGCTCCTGCATTCTTAGGGTAAATTCGTAGGAGTGGAATTCCTGGGTCAAATGGTGTTTCTATTCTGAGTTTTTTGAGGAACCTCCATACTGCTTTCCAAATGGTTGAACTAATTTATATTCCCACCAGCAGTGTAGGAGGGTTCCCCTTTCTCCACAACCTCGCCAACATTTGTTTTGTCTTTTGGATGGTGGCCATCCTTACTGGTATGAGGTGATATCTCATTGTGGTTTTAATTTGCATTTCTCTGATGATTAGCAGATGTGGAGCATCTTTTCATGTGCCTGTTGGCCATGGATCATAATTTTTTAAATTGTAAAATTAATACATCAAAGAATTCAGAATACTCCAACAATATGGAACTATCAAAAAAAAATGACATCTATTCTCCCACTCCCTTTTCTCCTCACCAGAGTTTTGGGAAATATTCTTAGAGACAATTTAGTGAGACACTCACGTGATTTCTTTTCTGTTGCTGATATTTGTTTGATTGCTTTAAACTGATACTACTACCCCTATTGTTGCTCACCTTTGCTTTTTTCTTTTTTAACCTTAACAAGAGACTATTTTCAGCCAAGCTCAGGATAAACACAGGCAGGCTAGAGTGTAACTTTACCCTTTATATCACATGGTAAACTTTAAAGTGTTCTTTTATATATATATATTATACATTTACATGGTTTCAAGTAAAAGGGTATAAAAGGCCCAATGATTAGTGCTCTCTCCCTTCCCTGTCCCTAAGCCATCCAGACCATATCCCTAATGACAGATATTATTATCAGTTTCTTAGGCATTCTTCCAGACAGAATTTATGCATACAAGAGCAAATGTGCATATTATATTCTTTCTTTTTTACACAAAGGTAATATGCTAGCATATTGTATACACTCTTCATTGTACTTTGAATTTTATTTTGGAAATCATTCTGTATTAGCACATAAAGAGCTTTCTCCTTTGTATTATAGCTGCACAGTAGTCCATTGTTTAGATGTACCATAATTTATGTAGCCAGACCCCTATGATGGAAAGTTTATTTCAAATCTTTTGGTATTGCAAGCAGTTCTACAATAACTAACTGGGAGTTTAGGCGTGATTTTTATCTGTAGGATAAATTCCGCAAAGTGGAAATGTTGGGACAGAGGCATATAAACTGGAATTTTAATAGATACTGCAACATTGTCCTTCTTCAAAGGACAGCAAAGTTGTTTCTACATTTGCTCTAACCAGTGTATTACCCAACTTATTATTTATTTTTATCTTTACTAATCTGACAGGTGATCAAGTATCTTGTCATATGTTAAAGAACCATTTGTATTTCCTCTTCTGTGAACTATTGTTTTTGTCCTTTATTCAGTTTTCTGTGGGGTTGGTGGGTTTTACTTGGTATATAGGGACTCTTAATTAAAAGAGAAATTTAGCCCTTTTTTGTGATGTGTCTCACAAATATTTTTTCCAGTTTCTTGTTTGTGTTTAACTTTGTTTATGGTGGGTTTTGTCATATAATTTTATTTTTATATAGTAGTTATAAGCAGTTTTTTATTTTATGGCTTCAGTGCTTTATATAATAGTTCAGGAAAAGCTTCTTCCAAGTTTATAGAAGAAATTTTCTTACAGTTTCTTTCAGTCCTTTTTTTGTTGTGGTTTAAATTGTTTTACATTTAAGTATTTATATCAAGAAATTATCATTTGTAATAAAAAAATGTGAGCTTTTCTTTAAGCTGTCTCCCTACTTATGCTAAAATTATTTAGCAAATGATCCATCTTCTCTCTTACATGAGATGACATCTTTATTATATATCACCTGTATGAACTGATATCCATACTATATCATATTCTATTGAGTTATCTGTTACATATCAGTACCATATTGTTTTAATTATTTTACTTTAAAATGTTACTGTTTTTTAAATTTACATATTTTACTATTAGATAGGAAGAGTATTCCATTATTGATCTGTTAAAAATTTCCTGGCTCTTCTTGCTTGTTTGATATTCTATATGAACTTAGCATCAGCTTGTCTATGTAAAAAAAATCCTGTGAGTATCCAGTTTACAAATAACTTGACAAGAATTTATCATCGTGTGATTTACCTTTCCATTTGTTCATTCTATGTGTAAGAGACCCTCCAGAATATTCTAAACTTTGTATCATATAGATCTTACATATTTCTTAAGTTTTTTACCAGATTTGTTAGTTTTGGTGGCTCTTGTAAATAAAATCTCTTCCATTTTACCTTCCTGATATTGCTTATGTATATGTAGTGTATTGATTTCTCTGTAGTAACTGTGCACCCATCCATTTTACTGAATTCTCTTTGCCTGTAAATGTTTTCATTGGCTTCTCCAGGGTCCTCCCAAAATATACAATCATAACGTCTGCAAATAATGATCAATTTTATCTCTTGTTTTTAAGTTGTATATGTTTATTTTGTTTCCGTAGTTTCTTTGTTTCCAGAATTTCTAGAACAATATAAAATGAAAGTAGTAATAATGCTTTCCTTATTACATGCCTAACTTAATGAGAATGTATCTCATTGATGAGAATGTTTTCCCATATAAGCATGTTCCTGGCTTCTGGGTTAACCCAGATATATTTAATCATTTTAAGAAAATAGCCGTCTACTCCTGTTTTATTCAAAGTATTTTAAATTATGAATGGGTGTTAAATTTTATCAAATGTCATTTCGGCATCTTTTGAGATGACTATATGAATTTTTTCTCCATAGTTTAATATTATGAATTCTGTAATAGTCTCTGATATTGAACCATCCTTATATTGCTGAAGCAAATACCACTTGGTCATGATGTCTTGTTATTTTAATATACTTTTCTGTTCTGTTTGCTAATATTTATTTAAGATTTTTACATCAGATTCATAGGTAAGATTGGCCTTTAATTCATTCATGTCATGCCTGGCATGCCTGGCAATTCCATCACAATTGATTTATGCATTCTGATGCTGGGCACTTACATTGTGTTTTCCAGTATTTTTATTGTGTATGATTTCTATATGTTCTGATTACAATAAGTTGGGGTAAATGTGTTTTCCTGATTTACTTACCATGGAGAACTGCATTCATTTATATTCATTAGGAAATGGTATGACTTTCTTGGCATGGAACAGAATGAGCATGTAGGGAATGGAATTACGTTAAGGCTGACCGTGTCTGGAAATATGCCTGGGCCCATCTCACAGAGCTTTGTGTTTCTCTCAGGTATTCTTGAGTCAGTATCCTAAAAATATAAAGATTTTACCTACGATTGGATTAGGCCCCTTAATTTTATTTTATTTCCCTGCCTCTGCCTGGCCCACAACACACACACACACACACACACACACACACACACACACACACACACGCACACACACAGAGATACATGCTGCTGCCTCCCATTTAGCTTGTGGGTGCACACTTTCAACCAGTATTCGTATTGAAAGGAAGAAACCTTC